ATATAAATTTTTAGAAAAATATTTTAATTATTTAAAAAAATAAATAAAAAGCAACTTTTTAGTTAAAAAATTTTAAACATTATAAAAAAAATACTTTATGATTTAAGAAATAATAAATAGCACTTTTAACAATTTATAATATTATATACTATATTGATTCTATTTAACTGCTCTCACATAAGATTGAACTAGTATTTTGTAATCTGATCTGTGAAGAATTAATCATTGTACTATGAATATACAGGTTAATTAAAAATTTATTATTATTTATTAAAATAATATTTGTTTATAAAATAAAAAAATCAAATATCTTTTTTTTAAATAGAAAATATATTTTTAATAATTATTAATAAATTTGTCAAAAAAACATTTGATTATTCTTCTTATCTATAAGAAACATAAAAAATCCAGAATTAAATTAAAAAAACTTAAGAAGATTTCTACTATAAATTTAATAATTTTATAATAAATCTTATTAAATTCTTTAAGAAATTATAAAAAAAATATAACAATTAATATTAATATTTTTAAAAAATTCAAAATTATTTATTTTATTATTTTATTTATTTTTAAAAAGACAAAATTAATAGCAAATAAAAATATAAAAAAATTTATTAATAAAAATATCATATTAAATATTTTAAAATATTATATATAAAAAAAAAACTCTTTTCTGATTGTATTCATTTTGTTAAAAATTTTTCTTTTATGGTAATTTTAAGCAAGAAAAAATGTTTTTCACTCTTTATCATAAGTAAGCTCCAGCTTAAGAACTCAAAAATCTTCAAGACAACTGATACCATGGACAGAGATTTCTGATCAAAGTTTACTCAAGTTTGAAAATCTTGTTTATTCTTTGGTTGCATAAGGAAAAACCTGTGATAATTTTTTTTTCTTTTGTTCTCTTGTACCTCTCCTTCTTTTTATTATATCATAAAAACTATCCACATCAATATAATTATACTTGCTAAACCAAACATCTTTCAAAAAACATACTCAAACAATATTATTGAGTTTATTGTTTGTTTTAATACAACCTTTACATATAATCTTATTATGACGCTACTTACTGTGTCATTCCAAAATCTTTAAAAAAATTTTTTCAAAAAACTAAAATCAGTTTACCTCTCCAGATGATCATTGTTCTCCAATTATCCAATCAGATTTTTTCAAAACAACAAAGAAAAACTCAAATCTGTTTAAATCAGTTTTTCAACATAACAATAATAACAATTATTACAATAACAAACAATATCAACTATACTCTACTATCCATGTCAATAAGAATCAAGTCTCTAAGATCTGTTTGTTTATAAAATTTTTAATAATACTTTTGAATTCTTTCTATTGTTACTAAAATTTTTGAAATTTTATTAATTTTAGATAGATATTATTAGATATTATTATTATTTATAGTTACAATATATTTTTTATATAATATTTAATTATTTTTTTCAATAATTCTCAAAATATCTATATAATTTTGAATAGTACAATAAATTCAAAATACTGTAGCTCAAAAATCTAGGTTTGAAGCTTCTTTAGGATTCTAAATAACTATTTGAGAAAAAATCAGTAAAATAATTTTTGTTAAGGATCCAAAGATGATTATTATAATAATATTTTAAGTAATTTCACTTTTTTTCTTATGGATAATAATTTTTTTTAATAATTGATCCAAGTGTAACAAATAATTCTTTGATTAATTTTTTGTATAAATAAATGAACCATGTATAAATAATTAAATTAAAAGTAATTTACAATTGATTAAAATATTATAAAAAAATTGAATTTTCTTTTAGTTTTGAAAAAACAATTATAAATAATTATAAACAATTTTTGAATTTTTGAATTCTTGTAATTTTCTTTTAATTCTTTTAATAAAAATATTATTATCTCATATTTTTTTTTATATTTTTATATTGGTTTTCTTTTTAAATTCAATTTTTATATATTGTTATTTTTTGAATTTTTTTTTCTTTTGAATTTTTTTTGACATTTCTTGGAATATATTTTTTTATTCTTTTTTATTTTGTTCTTATTTTCTTTTATTTTATAAAAACATTCTGTTTACTACAAGTTTAAATTGATACAATTTTTATTTTGTTCTTTCAAGACAACAACAATATTATCATATTATAAATTCTTTATTAATAAATATTATTATAAAAATTTTAAATAATTTTTCTAATATTTGGGGAATTGATTTAAATAAAATTTTTAATGGAGTATAATTGATGAAATCAAATTGATATTTATTGTTAGAATCTATTTAATAAGTCTGTTACTATATCATGATTGCTAATCAAGTGAGTGTATATAGGATGGTTTATTGTCTTAACCTCAAAACTCCAATTTATTTGTTGTCTTGGCTCTTTCTCTTTACATATTATATGTGTTTTATTAATACCCCTAAAATCCAATATATTTTAATGCTATCTCTTATGTTTTAGATAATATCACACAACTCCTTCATAATCCAATTACAGTATGTCATAATTGGATTGCGCCAATTGATCATTTTTTCATCTTTTTACGTTATCAATCAAACAAAACAATATTAATTTTGGAATTATCATCTAACTACAACCACTGATCCAAGTTGAATGAAATTTTTCATGTTATAGAATTTAAATTTGTTTATAATATATATACTGTAATTTATTTTAAGGTTTCGAGACTATATTGTACTGTTTTTTTCATCACAATCTTTAATTTTAATTATCTCGGGAATTTCATTTTTGCTTATAACACAAGAAATTCTTCTACAGTAGAATCACTTAAAAAAAGTGGTAGGTAATTCAAAAAATTATGCAAATGCCTCTATATAGGGATGATACACCAACACTTCACGGGCAACACCTCCCCAATAATGAATCTCTGCTGCGTACACCACGCATAACGGGAACTTTTCAATCATGGATCTATCATAAACTAACCAAATTAATAGATTTATGCAGTCATTTTACTGTAGGATTTATGCTCTGTTGTGGATTCAATTCCAAAATAGTGATGAACATATTCAATAAAATAAAACATCGTCGTTCTTATTGTTTTCCTAAAATATGTGAAAAACGAAATTTCACGCAGGTCTGTGGTCTTTATTCTGCGTTCTTTTCGTTTCTTCTTTGTTTTGGTAATGTCTCGTTTGCTGCAGCAATTAACGCGTTCCACAATTTTACAGCGGTCAAGGGCTTTCGTATTTAAAAAGAAATAAGTTGGCATTCAATATTAGGTTTAATGTTTGATTGATCTCATGACATAAAACAAACCGATACCTTATTAATAAAATAAACTTCACTATCAAGTAATTCGATTTTTTCTGAAATTTCGACATGTCTCAGAAGTGATGTGAGACAAATGACAAAGATATCATTCTCTTTAGCGATTTTGAAAATGATGGAAATTTGCTCGACGCGGATACCCGACAAATCAAGAATAATTGTGTTAGCTTCATCTAATTTTATGACATCGTGAAAAGTATAAATTTGGGACCGCATTTCGAACTCATTAAGAAAGGCGATGACTCTTTTTACAGTTCTAGATTCTTCGTCGGATCGAATTACATCAACTTTCAAGTGATCGACATCGGCTTGAGCTTGTACTTTGACGTAACGTAATGGAAGAGGTTTGACGTTGCCGCTTTGATCACATTCCTCTATTCCAGATTTCATTGGAAGTTCAATTGTAAAAGTGATTGAGGAAGTCGATGTGTTCCAATCCTTTAGGGAGAATGTAGGCGTGAAGGTGCCGCCAAGTGCATTGGTCAATGTATTGATAAACCTTTGACAGAATATGAAATGGCGTACATCAATAAAATCTTTTGGACAAGACTTAAGTGCGAGAATGAATAAATGCGATAAAAGGTTACTTGATCTCATAATTCTCTTGAGAAAAATCCTAAATTTAGTAAAAACCGTTTAATTTGTGAAATTGGAGTTGATATTGTTAAGTGGAAATATGACTGTACCGTGTTTGTTAGGTTCCCAGCCGCTGTGATCTCAAATATCAAATGAGAAACACGTGATTCATCACTTATTCCTGCTGAGGTTTCTCGGGGTTTCACGGTGAACAAAAGTTTCCCGGTCAGAAAAACGTTTAACTTAAAAAGAAAATGGACGAAAATAAGAAAGACCGACAAATCAAGCTGATTCGCATGAGAACGTAAGTCAAAAATATACCAAAGTTCCCATTAACTGAAATAATCAATTGTCATTTTATCAATTACTGCTGTTAAACTAGAAATGACAAAGACCATGTCACATTGAAAACTCACATTGATTATTGCTTTTTCTATCGCACCAGGAACTCCAACATAGATTGACTGTGAAAATGGCACTTGATAGTCGAAATCGAAATCGACCCCTTGCACTTCAAAAAGAATGTCCATTCCTGAATAATTTAATCAAATATTAGAAAAAAAAAAAATCCATTGAAAATTTAAATACTTGAAATTTACCATCACTGATTCGTTCCGTCACTAAGTAAAGGTCGAATTTCTCGGATTCGGTAGCTAACAAATCGACACCTATTAATGAGCCTAAACCTTAATTCGATGATGTATTGTATAATACAGCAGTAATACGGTACATTATAAAAGCGAATTTTACTTTTATAATGCATTATGCATGTACTTTCCTTGATTCCACTAAAAATAAATGAATAAATAAAAAAAATAAATAAAACCCGAAAAGTCGATCGTATGAAAGGAGTTGTGATTGTTCACCTCAGCTAGGTGTAAAACATGATCAGCCATATCAAAAACATTCATGCAAGCATCTTGAATTGCCAGAGTAAGTGCGTACTGCGCAGATGACATTGGAGTTTTGCACAGTATTTCGGAATTTGCCAAAATCCCGTGTATGGGTGTCCTAATTTCTATGGTTATTTAAGGCAACGAAAAACAATGAGTACTGTAATCATATTCCTTCAGGCAAGTTAGTATTCTTCGTTCCCAAATTACCGTGACTAATTGTTTGCAAGAATGTTTTTCTCGTCTGATTTTCTACATTGATCTAACAAATTTGTACGTTCGATCCCATTAAAGGTGCATCTAGTGTAGAAGAATGAAAAATGATGCAATATCAAATCCCTTTACCATTCTGAGTCCTGACAAGATGTCTCGTTCCCCGGAAAAAGCGGCAGATATAAAAAACATTAAGATGGAAATGATCAGAGAAATGATTTGCAATTCCGGCATCTCTTCATCTGGCATAGTCGTCATGGGCCTGTGCTTGATTGCATGAGTCAAAAAATTCTTTTGCAACCATAATTACTTGGACCAATATCAAGTGATTTATTACCAAAATGCTTCAATCGCAAAAAGAAGAAGCATGAATACAGCAGTAACCCTTGCGAATTTACGTCCCAACAAGATGTAGCTACAATTTAGGCATGATATTTATATGAGTGATTATTGACTTTCAGGTTACTAGTGGTGATGACGATGAAGGATACCTAAAAAGTGGAATAAGAAAGAGACCTCCACCACCGACATTGAAATCTTAAAGAAGTTTTATGAAATGGAAAATGTTGTAAGTGTCAACATCAGAAAACACGATATTTAGAAGCAATCACCATTTGTGTTCTTGTTTTTATCGATACGTCGCGAACCCATGACTTGTAAATAAAAAATAATCGTAAAGTTGGTAACTATTGTTCCCGCGCAAAATGCTGTCGAGACACGGTTGGCACACAAGCTACAGATATTGACTAAAAACTAAATGATGTGAAAAGCATTCTTAGGTTTAGATGTTTGGGAGTTTTACACATATAATAAACCATACTTGCAAAGACAATAGCCAACGCGATAAAATAGTTTAAGTATACACTCGAAATAAGATCAGGAGTTCTCCAATAACATATAGGCACGACGGAAGCGATGTACAGAACCATTGTAGTTATCACCGCATACATATTCAACTTTTCATGATATGAGAGAGTTTCTCTGACTTCTTTGTCTCTTCCGCGCGGTCGGCTCTCAGAGACGTCGATCATTTTGATGATGGAAAACACGATTTCTTTTTTTAAAAAAAAGCAAATGTCCAAAAATGAAATGAGAATTCTTTATATTAAATTTATTAGACTATTAGCACTAAATTTGTTTTAATGACCGATCCATTTCCATTTTATTGATAACTAACTGCTGCTGGAAAACCTGTGACATTTGATTTTTGTGCATGTCGCTAAAAATAATAAAATAATAAAATAATAAATACAGTACATTGCATTACACGCAATTCTCATAATTATCCTGGAGGAATTTTCAATAATATAAACAGCAGAACAGCTTATTTGTTCTATCATAATAGCATTTCCAAATCATCATTTGTAGTTTATTTAAATTCCAATGATATCAAATGACATCACACCATGCCTAAGAAAGTGTTGAATCTGTTGCATTCTCCAATTCGAATTAGAAATTGAGAGTGTTATAATTCATTGCAATTAACACAATTATCTACCAATCAATATTTTACAATGAATATAACACATTCATTTAGTTTTAACAATAAAAAAACTTGAATATTTAATTTGAAATGGATTATTCATTTAATGAGAAAACCATCATTCCAATGATCTCTTGTATTTTTAAAGACCACTACACTCACTGTATTATAATTTATCAATTTAACTTATAATATTAATGTATTTTATTAAGTTTTAAAAAAAAATAATTTTTTTTTTTGCTGTCTGTGTTCATGTTACAATATCAATACAATATGAAACTAACAAATTTTTATTATATGATTCTTATATACTGTATAACAACAATTATGTTTGTTACAATATAATAATATCGCAACGATCTAAACGATAGTGACTTATAAAAAAAATTTTTTTTTTTTAAAATTAAATCCTTCTAATCGATTTATAATTTACAATTGCTAATTAGTAATTCCTATTTACTGTTTTTAATTAAAAATTACTAAAAACACGATTGTAACGATAATCGATTATATAATAATACACCTATTGTAACGATAGTTATTCAACGATAATTATTAAAAACATGATTATATAATAAAAAACATATTGTAACGATAATTGCATTAGTGTCGTTTAAACGTCAAGCGTCAAATTTAATAATTCTTAAATATACGTACAATACAGTAAAAACGATTTCAATTTTTGCGAAAATCATTTGACCTTTTAATTATTATTTATTTCACGAACGCAAGATATTATCAGAATATAGTCATTGATCGTAATCTAAGAACACGTCACATTATGATTATTGTAAAATATTTGGCTAACCATTTTGTCATTTAATTTGAACTTATATGTCCATCGACCACGAGTATCCCTTGAAATTGAATCCAATATGAATAAATAAAGTTAGTCTTTACTATGCATATCGTATCCCATATAGGTTCAAG